TGTGTGTGTGTGTGTGTGTGTGTGTGTGTGTGTGTGTGTGTGTGTGTGTGTTTTAATGAACATATCAATCTTAATTATTATTTTTAACTTACAAACCACTTTGTTGAAATTGAATCACTACATTTTGATTAATTCTTGCTTCAGATTTGTAAATTATAAGACTCAATTTTCTTCATTTTAAAGAAAAAAATAAACATTATGTTTACACAATATTAAGAAAAATATCAATCTTAATTTCACAAAGGCCTAATACCCACTAGTCAGTGTGTTATGTTGTTGTAATATTCTTTCATTTGATGGATTCTTTTGGATTATTTGTTGAAAATAATGGAAAATCCAATCCATGTAACAATAATAAATGAACTTATTTCTTCTTTAACATTAGCTACAGCCATGCTTACCTACATCTCTAACTTCAAATTCAAAACTTTAACAGAAACTCCAAAACTATTGTAGACCTAATTCATGATCAAGTAGAGATTGATCGAGTAAAGGAGTTAGTGCTTCTGTAAGCTAATCAGTAAGTTAGTCACTCTTTGTTATAAACCAAAAATTTGTTAAATGTTAGCGGTCAACTACTCAAACATTTGATTCTTGTATTTATTGAACTCTCACTTCTACCAAGTACGAGAAGTTTCTAGGATCTAGGAAAACAGTTATGGACTTCTGTATTTTAACATCATACACTCTAGTAAACATCTAAATCGAAACATTAAAAAGACAGCTTACAACAATACTATTAACCAATTTAACTTGTTGATATACGGTTAACTATCATTCATTTATACAACATACTACTGACTAGACTTAATGGTATTAATCCAACTAAAATTTTAGTTTTCTTGCTCCATGTTACACAAATTCATGTGCAACAAATTAAAGATACTATTTAGTAAAATGTTTTTTAAAATAATTTGGTAACAATACAAGGAAGCCTAAAAAAGATGCTGTGTCAAAAGAAGTAAGTTTTCAAAATATAATCTACATGAAGAAGTGAACTAAAAATAATTTGTTATCAACACATAAATATGTAATTATATAAATATAATACTGTAAATAGGGTAAAAAGAACACACAAGAAAAACAAGAAACAAATTAAATACATTATAACAGCAAATGTTTTTTGTTTTTTACCAAAAAAGGACATTACACAAGTCACACCCCCCCACCTATATTTTTTAAACTTACAATGGGAGAAAATTATCAAATATTTTTAACAGAGGTTTTGAATTAAACTGAGTGGTTAAGATTTTATTATGCTGAATGATGCACTTGTCAATACTGACACACGTACACAGATACTCTTGAATTATTAAGACATACAGGATGAATAAACACTGTTTAGTCAAACCTAGTAAAATTCAAAATGAGGAAAGTAGAATTCAAGCTAACTGCTCTTTACTAAGTGACAGTATATATATTCATTCATACATTATGTAGCCATATATACTTGTGTGTGTGTGTGTGTGTGTGTGTGTGTGTGTGTGTGTGTGTGTG